GTAACCCAAATGAAACTAATAGAGTAAGATCCCAGAGCTGCCAGACCTACGTCATTTTAATACTGCTGAGATTTTTTTAATAAATGTCTTAATATGTAGTTAAAAACGTATGGGTACTTGCTAGCTTGAAAGCGGGGCCCTTTTACAGATAACGGGCACTAAAGGTACATAAAAAAGGTACCTGTCTACGTTAAAGTAATACCGCTGGATTTCATATATGTTTTACACATTGTTATTAAAAACCAACATTCATTATTGCCAGACGCATTCCAGGGGACCTAACTTCCGCCAGACGCTTTAAAGCTCAAGAAAAAAGGGCTGAACCTACGTTATAGTAGTACTCCTGAATTTTACATATATTTTTTGAGTGATTATTTTAAGACCTTTTGTAAGCAGCCAGACCAATCCGAGGGGCCCAAGTCCCCCCCAGACGCTTTAAAGGTCACGAAAAAAGGGGGGAACCTACGTTATAGTAGTACTCCTGAATTTTACATATTTTATTTGGTTGACTATTTTAAGACCTTTTATAAGCAGCCAGACCAATCCGAGGGGCCCAAGCCCCCCCCAGACGCTTTAAAGGTCAAGGAAAAAGGGGGGAACCTACGTTATAGTAGTACTCCTGAATTTTACATATTTTATTTGGTTGGCTATTTTAAGACCTTTTATAAGCAGCCAGACCAATCCGAGGGGCCCAAGCCCCCCCAGACGCTTTAAAGGTCCAGGAAAAATGGGGAAACCTACGTTATAGTAGTACTCCTGCATTTTACATATTTTATTTGAGTGACTATTTTAAGACCTTTTATAAGCAGCCAGACCAATCCGAGGGGCCCAAGCCCCCCCAGACGCTTTAAAGGTCAAGAAAAAATGGGGGAACCTTCGTTATAGTAGTACTCCTAAATTTTATATATACTATTTAATTGGCTATTTTAAGAACTTTTGTAAGCAGCCAGACCAATCCAAGGGCCTAAGCCCCCCCAGACGCTTTAAAGCTCGAGAAAAAACAGAGGAACCTACGTTATAGTACTAATCCTGAATTTAACTTTTTTTATTTGGGTGACTATTTTAAGACTTTTTATAAGCAACCAGACCAATCCGACGGGCCCAAGCCCCCCCAGACCTTTTAAAGGTCAAGAAAAAATGGGGGAACCTACGTTTTTTGACTATTTTAAGACTTTTTATAAGCAGCCAGATTAATACGAAGGGCTTAACCCCCCTCAGACACGATAAAAAGTATACCTTATAAGATCATGATCAATGCATTGGCTGTAATATTGTATTATGTATGTATATATATTATTTGGGTGGCTATTTTAACACCGTTAAGTGCCATTGTTTATCCTGGTTGGTGCAAGTTTAGTGTGGGAATTATGAAAATTTTGGAAAATATTTAAAAAAATTGAAATTTTCAAAATTTTGGATATCCTGAAAATTTTGAAAATCTTTGAAATTTTGAAATTTTTTGTAATTTTGAATAATTTAATTAAAACTAATTTTATAACAAGAATTTAAATATTATTAAATCATTATTAAAAAATTCCATAAAGACAAATACACAACTTAAATTTCATGAAGCTGTCTAATAAAGCCATCTAATACTATCACTCGCACTCACATGCATGCCTTGCTCTCGTACTCACAGCGTGTCTGGGCGTGGTTAGGCTCTTTGGAATGGTCTGGGTAGTTACAAAAAGTCTTAAAATATATAATAATAAATATATAATAATAATATATAAAATATTCAGGGGCCTTATGCCCTTCGGATTGGTCTGGCTGCTTACAAAAGATCATAAAATAGTCCCTCAAATAATATATGTAAAATTTAGAAGTTTTACTATAACGTAGGTTCTCCCATTTTTTCTTGGCCTTTAAACCGCCAGGGGGGGGGGGCTTGGGACCTTCGGATTGATCTGGCTGCTTATAAAAGGTGTTAATATAATCACCCAAATAAAATATGTAAAACTCAAAAGTACTACTATAACGTAGATTTTTCCATTTTTTATTGAGCTTTAAAGCGTCTGGGGGGGCTTAGGCCCTTCGGATTGATCTGGCTGCTTACAAAAGATCAGAAAATAGTCACTCAAATAATATATATCAAATTCAGGAGTACTACTATAACGTAGGTTCCCCCCTTTTTCCTTGACCTTTAAAGCGTCTGGGGGAGCTTGGGCCCCTCGGGCTGGTCTGGCTGCTTATAAAAGGTCTTAAAATAGTCAACCAAATAAAATATGTAAAATTCAGGAGTACTACTATAACGTAGGTTCCCCCCTTTTTTCGTGACCTTTAAAGCGTCTGGGGGGGACTTGGGCCCCTCGGATTGGTCTGGCTGCTTACAAAAGGTCTTAAAATAATCACTCAAAAAATATATGTAAAATGCAGGAGTACTACTATAACGTAGGTTCAGCCCTTTTTTCTTGAGCTTTAAAGCGTCTGGCGGAAGTTAGGTCCCCTGGAATGCGTCTGGCAATAATGAATGTTGGTTTTTAATAACAATGTGTAAAACATATATGAAAACCAGCGGTATTACTTTAACGTAGACAGGTACCTTTTTTATGTACCTTTAGTGTCCGTTATCTGTAAAAGGGCCCCGGTTTCAAGCTAGCAAGTACCCATACGTTTTTAACTACATATTAGGGCATTTATTAAAAAAATCTCAGCAGTATTAAAATGACGTAGGTCTGGCGGCCCTGGGATCTTGGACTATAATTTTTATACCACTTGTTAGCTAAATTAAAACTTAAATGAAGTTTTTAATAAAAGTTCTAATATTTTCGTACTTTTACTCGAGTATTTTTTTATTGTATTTAAAACAACAATTTGTGGATACAATTTTGAAAGATTTAAATATTTTGAATGGTTTAGATAAAACAACATAAAACCAATAATTTTAAGTAATTGTCTAAATTGTTTAAAGGAAACTATTATCAAAACCAAAACTTGTGATTTTGACCCCACATGAACAAGTCAATTTTTATAAAATAAGGATTATCTTTGTGGCACTATCAGAAACCGATATGCAACTAAATCCTATTATCGTGTTAAAATAAAATTAAATAAAAGTGAAGGGGTAAACAATTATTTACTTTAAAAATAAAAAATTTAATAAATACATAGGCATTTTAATAACTTTAATTTTTTTTTCGCTCTTACCCTCTCAAATGTTTCTATTTAATATAAAAAAAATCTTCACCAAATATGGGCGTCTCAGCTCAACTCTAAGAGGTCGCTGTTTTTATTTTAGTTTCCCATTTAATTAACATGGGAAAAAATAATTTTATGTTTGGAATTTTATACCTCTGTATCAAAGTAACTTATGGCAATGATCATTGCAGTTTCTTATATAAAATGTAACGCTCTACAAAAAAGGTTTCTTATTATTTTTCGATAAATTGATTTCTTCTAGAGTTATTCGAGGTCAAAGTTTGATAACATCAAATTTTTTGGTTTTTTTAATTTTATGGTAGCAGACAGGAGGTGAAAGGGGGCAAAACAAGGCAGCGGGGGGGGGGGCAAAATGGGGTACCCAAAAAATGAGCATAAGAAAAGTTTTCCAAAATTGTACCATCCTTTTTCTCGCTCTACACGGAGAGAAAAATTTTGCTAAAATAACTATCCAAAGTATTGTTAAATGACGTATCGTGAATTTAGTCAACTGTTTTATTAAACTGAGGATTTGTATGGATAAATTAGCTATACAGATCCTCAGTTTAATAAAACAGTTGACTAAATTCACGATACGTCATTTAACAATACTTTGGATGGTTATTTTGGCAAAATTTTTCTCTCCGTGTACAGGCCCAGAATAATTATTTTCGATTAAAAGCGTGAACTTGTGAGTCAATTTTGAAATTATTTAGAAACCGCAAAACCAATCTAAATAAAAAAAAATTTACGAAAATTTTTTGGGTACCCCATTTTGCCCCCACCCCCCGCTGCATTGTTTTGCCCCCTTTCACCTCCCGTCTGCTAATTGTACCATAAAATTTAAAAAAAAAACAGAAAATTTTATGTTAATCAAACTTTGACCTCGAATAACTCTAGAAGAAATCAATTTATCGAAAAATAATAAGAGACCTTTTTTGTAGAGCGTTACATTTTATTTAAGGCAATGATCATTGCCATAAGTTACTTTGATACAGAGATATAAAATTCCAAAAATAAAATTATTTTTCCCATGTTAATTAAATGGGAAACTAAAATAAAAACAGCGACCTCTTAGAGTTGAGCTGGAACGCCCATATTTGGTGAGGATTTATTTTATATTAAATAGAAACATTTAAGAGGGTAAGAGCGAAAAAAGAATTAAATTATATTTTTTGAAGCACCCTAATAGGCATATAACAAAAATATCTGTAAAGCTTATCACAAACATAGCAGATGTTATAAAAGAAACAAACAGTTTTTACTTTCAAAACAAGAAACGAAAATACAATAAATGTTGTCTAAAAATAATAACTTATTTTGAAAATAAATGTACTAATATAAAAGACATAAAAATTAATCCCATTTTTAATGCAACTTTTGTTGAAAACCCATAAAATTGTAAGCAACTGTTTGGTTTTATGTAACTTAAAAATATTTTAAAATTAAAAAAACACCGATATCAGGAAATGTACGCCCGAGGCTAAAACTACATTATCAAAAACTTTTACAAATATAAAGGTATGCATTAGTCTAGTCAGTTGTCCACCAAACCTGGTGGTAAACAAACGCGACAAGACATTTAAGTTTAAATTAATTGTTGTCTAATAACATCGATAATCCATAAGTGCCTATCTACCTAGCACGTGCCACTAATTCGTCCCAAAACTTAAGGGCAGTTGGTGAGTACTTTCTACAAATTTCATTGGCTGACAGCGCTGATAGTTAATCCGAGATAAAGATTAATAAAAGTGGTAGTGGTGGTGGTAACTTGCAGAATATATATTAACGTAACCACACAGGGTTTCAGTATCACTTTACTTTCAACCTTTATCAGCAATTTATGTATAATTACTTACAAAATGAGCCAAAGAACACTTAACGAGGGCCCTGCAAATAAAACGATAAAGTACGAGTACGTTTACGAAGAAAGCGACATTAGGACTTCCAGTCCAATTGACGAAAACCAAGTCAAACAAACATATCGAGAAGGTTTAGTTACTATCACTCCTCCTGTATCAGATGAGTCTCCACCATTGTACAACGATGTACTTAGAGCACCAATACCTTTGCATATCCAACAAGACTCCATGGTAAGTTAAAAAAAAATTATATTAATTATTAAAGTACTAACAGGTTTTTTTGCAGTATCAAAAGGAGTGCAATTCTTGGGATCAAAGCAATCTAAACCGTATGGCGGATCATCAACAACAATTTAACATGATTGATTATTTAAAACCGAGTCATCCATCTCAAAGTGATGATCAAGGTTTTTCTCCTCCACCTTCAAATCGTCAAATGCAAACTGGTAGCAAACGGGCAAGAACTGCTTACACCTCAAACCAACTTGTCCAGCTCGAAAAAGAGTTTCATACCAATCGCTACCTCTGCAGACCGAGAAGAATTCAAATAGCTCAACTTTTGAGTCTCACCGAGCGCCAAATTAAAATCTGGTTTCAAAACCGACGAATGAAATACAAGAAGGAAACGAAGAATAAATCATCCCCTTCCCAAAACTCGAATGATAGAGAATCTCCAGCATTATCATCATGTTCTAATAGCTCATTAAACAACATATCAACTTCTAGAGCAGTTAAAAATGAAGATGAGGCAGTTGGGCGTTTGATTCATCATTCACCAGCAATACCAAATCAGTACATGAGTCAACAATACGAACCACCATACTACGGGCCATATTACCAACCATTTTCGCAACCACCATACTTTGAATGCAACCCACCGCCACAATTCAACATTTTTAATCAATACAACCCACCAAACCAAGCTGAGGAGAAATACCCCATGGACATTTATGCTTTACCAAAACAGAATGATTTTCAAGAAAACATCCGTGAACCCCAATACGTTGAGGAAAATAGATTGCAAAATAATTTCAACTGGTCCAACACTGAGTTTCCTGTAAATAACAATAATAGTTCTTCTGACAATTCAAGCCTAACTGAATTATAAACTGTTCAAATGTTATAGTGCAATACAAATGCCAATCTGTATATATGTTAAGTGTTAAAATAAAATATTGTATTTAAATATTGTATTTTTTATTTCGTAAAGTATTACTACAGTACAATAGCCTGAGGTTATAAAATTATGCGACACAGGCATAATGTGAAATTTGATGAGGGGCAAGTTTGGCTGTCACTCAGAGCTCGTCACTTGTCAGTCAAGGGGGTTGCCAGAGGCAACATGGCGGCCGCACACCCCACTTGTTCGATGAGTGACGTATTCAACAATCACATGTTTATCAGGGCATTCTGCGGGTGTAGTGTTTCTTCCACAAACAGCCATTTTCTAAATCTCCATCATTCAATCATGTTGTGTCAGTTCTTATTATTACATATCAGGTTTTACTAATTTTATATTATGATAATTATTTAAAGCTGCGTTAATGCAGGGAATAAATGAAATTGTTGTTTTATAAACTTGTAACGGGTGTTTTTGTTAATAATTTTGATAATTGAAGGACAGGAAATTATAATGGAATAATTTTTTCCACATTCCAAAAGTGGAAAAATAGAAACTTAACGTGAAACAGGTTTATAATAATTATAATGCTCATTAACAAGGTTTTTCCCTTTTATAATAATAGATAATTTTGATTTTTACTACTAAATGTTTAATGTTAATTATTATATTTAGTGTAACGTTTATAAATACAACATAAATTTATAATTTTAATGGTTGGTTTAAATATTTTAATGCGGAATTATGTATTATGTATCAAAAAAGTTTTTAATTTTTTTAAGATTAGCTTTAAGTAAAAAAGTTGCATGGTTTTTAAAATTGAATGAAATAATTTATTAATATAAAAGAATTTAAAACAAAATTCTAATGCTGATTAACGAAAAAATTATGATATGTTTTTATTTTTAAAAGGAATATATCAGGCTCATCTTTCTTGTTTGATTTATTTCTATTATAAGCACTATTATATCTAGATTATTTTACATTATGATATTGGATACTTTGTTTTGATTGTTTTTAATTTATAAAAATCTATTATATTTAAAAGTTCGAAAATTGTGCATACAATAATTTATTCAACTACAGTAAGGAATATTAAGTCATAGCATACAGTTTTAACCTTACTTTTTTTCAATTTTATCTTAAAATTATCATCAGCCCGTGTGCGAAATGTACAGCCAGGGAAATAATTATTTCGCCATCAGTTGATTAATATTAAATTGTACAACGAGTGGGCAAAAGGGTCGATTCTGAACAAGCATTTCTTTGATGCGCGAGTGAGGTAAGCGTGGTGAGAATGCGAGTTAAGACTCCCACAATCAAGTAAACATAAATCATTATATTAATGAACTTTAACAAAAACAAACACCTAATGTTGCAAACGAACTGACGAAGCTTATTTCAAAATTATCATATTCGTAAAAATAAAATCTGTTATACGGATTTAACCTCACTTTTTCCTAATTAAATTATTTCTTATTTTAGTTCTTTATATTTTTCAATGAATTATTTTTAATGGGAGTAAAATTTTGTTTAAATACATATATGTGAACAATGTAAAAAATCATATTTATATAAATATCTATTATTTGTATGTAAAACATATTTTAACATTGCTGTTATTTATAGTTTACAATTATTGTTTTCTTTTTCTTCTTTTTCATTGTTCAATAGCTTAATTTGTTATTTTTTTTTCAAGCGTATAATGTCTCAATTAAGTGTATTTTGTACAATAATTTTTATATCTCATTCAACCTTTTTATTGTTTTATTTTATTTGGTGACATTAAATACAATTTATATTCAACACATCTTATCTTAAATATTCTTTGACAAACCTTGCATATTTTTATTATTATTTATCCATATGGCTACGACTCAAAGAAGTTGCTTGCATAATCCAAATAATTTTTAGAAACATCAACGAAATAAACTAATTTAATTTTTTGGTAATCAGAGTAAGTCAGTATTTAAAAAATATTTATATTAAAAACACTGTTTAAATAACCAGCTACATCGTTTCAAACTGCTTACCTTTGTTTATATAGCAGATCGCTAAATTAAACCCAAAATTGAATAAATAATAATAATACCTTTATTGCCTAACAGAAATATATTCTAATTTCAGGACAAAATTTACAAAAAAGTTTTTAAAATAAAATAATATTATAAAAATTTAAAATCATTCCGATTTGAACCACAAGTTTAAAAAAAAACGGCGTTGAATTCCTTCAACAGTATTATTTTGAGCATTGTAGTATGCGCTCCAAACTACTTAACAGTACTCATTGATCTCACCAGTTAAAAATACAAAGTTTTAATTACACTGGGTCCTCTAAAGTCCTTACTATTTCTAATAATGAAGCCAAGCATTTTAATTGAGGTGGATGATAAATGATATATGATATATATGATATAATGATATATTCTTAATGTGGCTGTTAAAACTTAAAGGGCTGTTAAAATACACCCGAGGTATTTTATGTTAGAACATACACTGCGCGTCAAAATTAACGCATAATAAGTAAAAAAAAATTAACTCTAAAACGCCTTTACCAATCTTTATGAAATTTTGTATAAAAATACTTCAACTTATATCTCAGTTTACATGTTCGAGGGTTTTTCGAGAAAATATTTTTAAAGGTTTTTTATTTATTATTTAAAAAAACGCTCAAAAAAAAACTTTTATAGGGAATTTTTTTTAAGTAAATAAAAAATATGCTGTTAAAGACCGTATTTTTATTAGTATACCCTGAAAATTTTGTACAAATCAAATGAACAGTAACGAAGATACAGCGCTTCAAAGTCGGTAAAAATGACCCCTTTTTTATTATTTTTCTAAAAAAATTCCCTATAAAAGTTTTTTTTCGAGCGTTTTTTTTTAATATTAGATAAAAGGGATATTTTTCCGAAAAACCCGTGAAAACGTAAACTGAGATATAAGTTAAAGTATTTTTATCCAAACTTTTATAAAGATTGGTAAAGGTGTTTTAGAGTTAGAATTTTTTTACTTATTATGCGTTAATTTTGACGGGCAGTGTATTTCAATTAATTCTTCATTTAAAACCGCTTTAACATATTTATATAAATGTGTAATAAAATTCCAATAAAGAGTTTATACTGTGATAAGTAGATGATCAATTAAGTATTCTAAATAATTTGAATTAAGTAATGTACTTATTTAATAGCTACTAAATGATTATATTAAGTACATAAAACCTAACTGCATGGGTATATTTTTGTTAAATTAATTTTGTTGTTGATGATGATGAGTTCTGGTGGCTTCAATTCAGTGATAAAGTTTTACTAAGCATTGTGAAAAAGTGTTGTTTTGTATGTGTATTATGTGTGTATGTTCAACGTGGATTTTAGACTTTAAAATAACAAATTGTAATTATTATTGTATCTAATTGGAATACAAGTTAAATTAACAATGTTCAACTTCAAATGAAAAAAAAAACGATGAAAACAAATTACCTATATGTAAAAAAAATTTTATTCAATATTTAGATATTTAAAATCTTGTAAGTAATTAATATCAATCCATTTTATAGAACACATATTACAATATTTTCTAAATTTACTAAAGAATAAATCATAATTTTCGTCAAAAAGGTTGCTTAGATATTCTATTGTAAATCTAATCCTTGTAAGACATATTTTCTCAAACTAAGTCTCTAGGGACGCCAAGAAATACGATATTTCTCTTGCCGCCCCCAAAATATCCAAACGAGATTTCGTGAGGTACGGCTTGGCGGTTTTCCCTTCTTCGTGCAGTTTGTCACCAAAAATTACATCGGTTATTAAGAAACAATTAGACGAGAAATTTTGTCATTAATTGAAAACTATGAAAACAAGAATTTCAACGATTTATGGTTGAAAGTTTTTCAAAGAATATTTAAATCACCACACTACTGCGTATAATTAGTTACCAATATTAAAAAAAAATTTAAAACTGATTCAAAATAATTTAATAATTTTATAAAATAAATTTTAAATTTTAATTAAAATTTAAATATTAAACTTCCCCAAAAAATCATTTTGGAATCATCAGTGGTGTATCCAGAGGAGGAATGGGAATTTCCTCCCCCCAATAGCTAAAATTATTATTATAGATTATATTTTGGTTGATAAGTTGTGGCTATCTTATTTATACTTCAGTACTGGGAAAAAAATTTAAGGAATAAAAACCACAACTTAAAAATAATTTTATTTATTCTACGTATCAACTAAAATACAATCGATTATTGGTCACATTAATATAATAAATATGTTTGCTTAAAGATTATGCTTCGCGATAAGGGTAAGAAATCCCAAAGATATAATTGTAATAATACTTTGTTTACCCTTGAGAAATGTGCTTCTTAAATAGGCAAGTGACTAACACTTCTTTTAAATCTTAATCTTGTTTGTCAATTTATCAAAAAAGACAGGTACCCGGTTCTTTTATTTGGCCGAGATAAACGTTTTGAAAATATTACAATATGCGTAATAATTTATCTGTTTACGAAAACAAGTTTCTTTGTTTAAATTTTAGGTTTATCATATTGAAAACAAAAAATGTATACTTTTATGAACCATTGGTTTATAAAATATTTGGTATTATATTATATTAAGGAAGGTACTCAGTAATTTTCTAAGAATATAAACAATAAATTGGACAAAAAATTGCCTTAATATTATCCAGAACATGAAGCATCAATCGTATGGGGAGTATCGATGTCTGTCATTAACATAATGAACTAAGGGTTGTTTTCCTTGGGAAAACGCCTTGTGTTTTCGAACGAAATTTGTCCTTTTAATAATTCTTCGTGCTACTTTTTTAATTAATTATCAAGAACCTTTTAATAATATATCCCCAGGTTAAAATACGCAAAATTCTTATTTTAATTTTGATTATTAATTAAAACAATCAAGTTGCAATTTATTTATAATATTAAAGAAAGTTTGCTTCTAACGATACTTTAATTATTGTCTCCTAAATTCAAT